TTATTAATAACTTAATGAAAGTTTACAGAAAACTTGGGTCTCCATTCATTCATTGTTGCACATATTCCTCCCTACCCCCCTCCCCATATTTGTGTTTTATTGACTATGCAAAGGCACTCGACTGTGTGGATCATAACAAATTATGGCTAACACTGAGAAGAATGGAAACCCCAGAACACTTAACTGGGCTGCTCATACAGAATCTATACGTAGGCCAATAAGCCGTTGTCTGAATGGAGCAAGTCAAGGGCATGGTTTAAAATCAGGAAGGGTGCGTGTCAGCAGTTCCTCCTTTTTCCACAAAGAGAAGAGTAGAGTATTTCTCCACTCTACCTTGGCCAGTCGGGGGAGTCACAGCAGTTTCAAGGGCAGGGGGCCATTTCTCATTTTTCTTTTTCTGCACTCCCTGTTTTAACTGTCAGCTATCTCCTGGGGTAGGTCATAAAATCTTTTACAGTTTAGGGGTAAACATTAGTCAGATGATTTACTGTTTCCTGGAACATTGGTGGATTCAGGTAGGGTCAGAAGATCACCAAAATGGCATCTAGTTTACACCTTAAAGGAGAAAAAGAAAAGAATCCCATATTTGAACTCTTACTGAGTCTAGGTGGATTCTTGGGTTTATGCTGTATTTGGGTTTTTTAAGGTTTGTTTTAAAAAAAAATAAATAAAAATAAAGCCTTCTTAAATGAGATGCTGTACGTTGTTGTTTAGTTTCCAAAGTCTTAAACTGTAGCTGTCAGCAATTTTATCCAGTTTTAGCCTTGCTTTCTTAGATTTGTTAAGCTTCTCAAACCTTCACTCCAGAAGTCCAGTCCCGTAGATACCATTTTAAGTTTTCAAAGTAATGACACTGAAAAAGGTAACAAGATACAAAACGGGCAGAGGACATAAAAACACAGGTCCCTGAAGACATTCAGATGCCAATAAACACATGAAGAACCATTCAGAGATATGCAAATCAGAGCAACAAGATGTCACCTCACCTCAGCAACACAGCAAAGGCTAACAAGACAGTAAACAACAAATGCTGACAAAAACGTGGAGACACTAGAAAACTCTCTTACAGTACTGGTGTCAACATAAAACAGTGCAACTCCTGTGGGAAGGAGGAGCATGGACGCTGGACTCTATGAGGAAGAATGCGGCATCAGGAGTGGAGGAAGACTCATCAACCACCTACCTTACACTGATGACACAACCTTGCTTGCTGAACGTGAGGAGGACTTGAAGCATTTGCTGCAGAAGGTTAAACACGGCAGCCTTCAACACGGATCACATCTCAACATCAAGAAAACAAAAATTCTCACCACTGGACCAAGAGGCAATATCATGATGCATGGAGAATGACTTCCTCTTACTTGGATCCACAATCAATACCTTGCTTAGCACCAGTCCAAAGACAGGAGACATACTGCACTGGGAAAGTCTGTAGTCAGGGACCTCTCCAAATTATTGAGGAGCAAAAATGTTAAGTTTGAGGACTAAGGTGCATCCGATTCAAAGCTGGCCTTTTCTTTCAGTCACTTGCTGCACATCTGACAGTTGGACAATATATAAAGATAAAAGAAGAAGAACTGCTGCCTTTGAGCTGTGGTCTTGGAGAAGAGTACTCAACACCCCATGGACGGCCAAGAGAACTAACAGACACGTCTTGGAGAAAGTGCAGCCAGAGTGCTCCTTGGAGGCAAGGCTAGTGAAGCTTCGTTTCACATACTTTGGGCCCGTTGCTAGGAGAGGTTATTCTTTGGAAAGGGACATCATGTCAAAAGAGGAAGAGCCTCAATCAGGTGGATTGACTCGGTGACTGCTGCAATGGGCTCTGGTGTGTCAGGAAGTGTGAGGATGGCGCAGGATCGGTCAGGGCTCAGATCTGTTGTTCTTAGGGTCATGGTGCATCGCAGTGAACGCCACAGCACCCAACAACAGCAATCTTTATGGACACTGCAATCCGGGAGGTTCAAGCATTTGGCTGCTGACAGGTTGGCAGTTCGAACCCAACAGCAGCGTCAAAGGAAACGAGGAGGCAGTGTGTTTCCGAAACGAGTCATGGTCTCTGGAAACCTACGGGGCAAGTCTACCCTGCGCGGAATCAGCACGTGGCCCCAGGCCCCAGGTCTCTGACCTCCGACCTCTGACCTCCGACCCCGCGCACCACGCACCATCCCGGGCGCGGGCATGGTTTCCCGGGGACGAATTTGCTGACGCACCGCCAGCCACCCGGACCGCCCTGCGCAGCCCCTTCCGGCGGCGACTTCCGGCGACGACTTCCGGCAGCGACTTCCGGCGCGGAGCCATGGGGCCGGTGTGGACGTCTGGCAGCCTCGGCGCGGCGCGGGCGGCGGGAAGCGGCAGCGGCGGGCAGTGACCTGGCCGGCGGAGGGTCCACAGCGTTCGAGGAGCCCAGGTAGCGGCGCCCCAGCCGGGAGGACGGGACCCCGTGTCGGGAGGGCTCCGCGGGGAGGCCGGTGCCACCAGTTTCCCGGGTCGGCGGCGGCCAGCGGGGCGCGGCCGGAGGCTTGAGCTCGCGGAGGGAGGCTGCAGGCAGCGGCCAGGTGCCAGCGTCGGTGCCGGGGGTCAGGGGAGACCAGGCTGTTCAGACATGGGCAGTCTCGGTAGCGTGGGCCACTGCTGTGTGGCTCCACTGCTCCCCCAAACGCCGGAGCAGCCGGGGGGTGTCGGTCCACAGTCAGATGAGACAGCGTAATGTGCGGGAGGATTGAGGGTTGCGGTCAGCGGGAAGCCTAGCCCGCAGCCTAGCAGCCTGTTGCGTCCATGGTGAAGCCACTGGCCGGGAAGGGTGGCCCCAGAAAGCGTGGGGGAAGGCCTGTGCTGTCTCACCTTGGCGCTGGTCACCCGAGGAGGGAGGGGGTGCGGCAGCACCCAGGTGACCACAGATGCGCCGCTGATACGTAACCAGCTGACCTGTGGTCCTGCCGTGGGGGGCCCCTTGTGTCTCCAGCTAAACTCCGGGGCTTGTCGAGGCCCCCGAGGGTCGGATGGCTGGCCCAGCGGCTCTCCCCGCTTGCTCATGCCGCCTGCTCGTGGCGCAGTAGCATTTCCACCAGCGGGCACGGGTGCTGTGTCTCAGGTCGCTGAGGCTCAGAGTGACCGTATGTCACAAGCAGCCTGGCCCCGCGCTGCGGTTGCTCTGTTGGTCCCCCTGTTGAGTGTCTTCACATCAGAAGGGCCCCAGAAAGGGGTCTGAAGTCACTCGCCTTGTGCAGCATGCAGGGTGCTGGGTTTGGATCAGACCCACACTGCAGCCCAGGCCCCAGTTTTTAGGATGCCAGGGAGGGGGAGGACCCGGCTTCTCACAGACCAAGGGGGCTGCAGCCTCCTCCAGGCGGCCTGCAGATTTGCTGACCAGAAACCAGCCTCGCCCAGATGATAACCTGCCCCCAGCCACGTGGCTCAAAGACTGCAGAACAGCCCTGGAATTGATAAGGTTGAAGATGCGGTGAAAACTCTTTGGAAACGGCTAGCCAGGAGACGCTGGAAGTCAAGCAGGAGCCTTTGCTGAACGAGGTTGTGGCTGACGCTGAGGGCACCTGCTCCCCGGAAGCATGAGTTGTTGCCTTGACGCTCAGATCCGCAAACATGGAATGGACAGGGCGCGCCAGTGCTGTCTGCTCTTGAGCATCAACCAAGGGCGGGAAAGCGCCAGATCCTCCGTGAGACCACCGCGTGACCAGCTAGCACGCCTTGAGAAGACAGACAAGTACACTGTCCCCTCTGTACCACCGACAGGCCCCTGCTGCTGGCTGACCAAGGAGGTGCTGTGTGGGCGGGATTGCTAGGAGGCTCAAAAGCTGAAGAGCACTAAAAGATCTGGAAAGCCATGGCAGCAGCCCAGAAGCAAGGCCGGAGAAGCCACAAGGGGCCTTCCAAAGCCGGACTAGAAGCATGCGATGAAAACCAATTCTGTTCCAACTTTTTAAAAAAAAAATTAAAAAGAGAGTCATCCATGGCTGAGTGTCCCATCTCTTTCCCTGCAGGGCCGGGACGATGCCCAAACTGCAGGGCTTTGAGTTCTGGAGCTGCACCCTGAGGGGGGCCCGCCATGTGGTAGCCCCCATGGTGGACCAGAGCGAGCTGGCCTGGAGGTTGTTGAGTCGCCGGCATGGGGCCCAGCTGTGCTACACCCCCATGCTGCACGCCCAGGTGTTTGTGCGTGATGCCAATTACCGCAAGGAGAACCTGTACTGCGAGGTGTGCCCCGAGGACCGGCCCCTCATCGTCCAGGTAGGCCCACCACCCCAGAGCTGACCCAGGGAGTGGGGGGACGGGGGGGACAGCAGAGCTGGCTCCCAGGTGAGCCTGGAGCCTGTGGAGGCTGTGTCCTCGCAGCAGGGGCCCCTGCAGCCCTGCCCTGACACTTGCCCACTATGCTGTTTACCCTTTTTAGTTCTGTGCCAACGACCCTGAAGTATTTGTGCAGGCTGCTCTCCTGGCCCAGGATTACTGTGACGCCATCGACCTCAACCTAGGCTGCCCGCAGATGATCGCCAAGAGGGGTGAGCTCACACCCAGTGACACTGGGTCATGGTGACCCTTGTGTGAAGTCTTGAGGTCACGCACCCCCACCCCTGGAGTGGGGCCAGTGGGCACTCAGGACATCACGAGGTTCCCAGATAAAGAACTTGCAGAGAGCTAGCCCTCACTCAGGTCCAGCCACTCTGCGGTACCTGTTCAACAGACTGTGGAAGCTGGGCAGACAGAACCTTTGTCACACAGACTAGTACTGGGTTCTAGAAACTTCTTCCTAGCCCAGCCTGTGGCAGCTCAGTGCCTGGTCAGCAGCAGCACTGGCGTGGGTGCTGACCTCAGACTTGTCCTAGGAGGCCTCATGTGGCAGATGTAGGAGGCAGGATGTTAGGGCATCTGCCTGTGTCAGGGAGAGGTAGGTGCAGTGTCCTCACCCTGAGAGTCTCAACTCTGCGTTCTGGAGGCTCAGGTCTCCTCCCTCTCCAGCTGTGGGCGCTCATGCCTGGCCCCAGAACCGGCCAGCTCACGTCCACCTCTGCACACCTGGCTGTCAGCATCTCTGAACCCTTGACATTTGGGGCACTGGGTCTGAGACTTCCTTGTAAGGAGGTCACTTGAGAGGGCCAGCAGTGGCCAGCTCCTGGGCCTGAATACTCCATGGGGTGCTGGACCCAGAGCACCCTGCCATTTTTAGGTGGACTGAGCAACAGGGAAGCTCAAGAGGGACAAAGGCAGTGGTGGCCTCAGCCTGTCCACTGGAGCCGTGGCCAGCGCACTGTGCTTGCCTCCACAGGCCACTATGGTGCCTTTTTGCAGGAGGAGTGGGACCTGCTTCAGAGGATGAGTGAGTTACCACGTGAGCCGTGCTGGTCAGGGCCGGGGGGTTCAGCAGGGTGGGGGCTGCACACACTCGGGCCAAGCACCTCTCCCTGGGACCTGGAAGAGGTCGCGTTCCCTCAGTCAGGCAGCGGGTGCCATTGGCAGGGCCCCAGCTTTGCCCTGGACCCATGGTCCAGCTGCTGGCCTCGTAGATTTGGGGCAGAAGGAAAGACCTCTGGATGCCGTGCCCTCCATGTTCCTCAGAGCATGCTCCTTGTCCCCAGTTACGCTGGCCCACGAGAAGCTCTCTGTTCCCGTAACGTGTAAAATCCGTGTCTTCCCGGAAATTGACAAGACAGTGAGGTATGCGCAGATGCTGGAGAGAGCTGGCTGCCAGGTAAGCAGGGCAGGGGTGCAGGGTGAGCAGCCCTGCCTGGGTCAGGGGAGCCGTAGCTCCCTCGGGAGGTTGGAGTGAGTCAGGCTGAGCTAGGGCACTGACCAAGCCTGTGTCCCAGCTACTGACTGTGCATGGACGCACCAAGGAGCAGAAGGGGCCCCAGGCCGGCCCTGCATCCTGGGAACACATCCGAGCCGTGCGGTGAGTGCAGCCCTGGGCAGGGCAGGAATGCTCTCGTGGGGACTTGAGGGAGTGGCCTAAGTAGGAGGGGCTGTCCTGCTCGGACTGAGGGGGGTCCCTGCCAGGGTGAGGCTTGGGACTCCCTGCTCCTCGCTGAGTCTGTACCTGCACAGGAAGGCCGTGAGCATTCCTGTGTTTGCCAACGGGAACATCCAGTGTCTGCGGGATGTGGAACGCTGCCTGCAGGACACAGGCGTACAGGGTGTCATGAGCGCAGGTGAGGGCCAGATCATGAATGCAGGTGGTGGTGGGCTGTGCAGGGGCCCCAGATTCAGGGAGCATGGCCCCAAGACTGCCCTCATCCTCAACAGAGGGGAACCTGCACAACCCTGCCCTGTTCGAGGGCAGCAGTCCTGCCGTGTGGGAGCTCGCTGAGGAGTACTTGGATCTGGTGCGACAGCACCCGTGTCCTCTGTCTTACGTCCGTGCTCATCTCTTCAAACTGTGGCACCACACGTGAGTGGGGACCCCACCTCCCCAGGCAGCTTGGGTGTCTGCAGGTGACATAAGCCCACCCAGCATGGACGTGGTGGCACTTCCTGATGGAGGTGCAGACCGGAAGTGGGAGGGCAGGCAGGTGATGCAGGCGGGAGGGGAAGGAGATGCACCCCCTGATACGGCATCTGACTCAGGCTGCAGGTCCATCAGCACCTCCGGGAGGACCTGGCCAAGGCAAAGACCCTGGAGGACACAGCCGCTGTGAGCCAGGCACTCAGACTACAGTGTCAGGCAGGTGGCAGCAGGCAAGCTGGGAGTTGTGGGGGGCTTCAGGGGACTGGGTCCTAATAATGACCAGGACCTCTGGGCTCTTGCAGGAGGACATGTCCCGACAAGAGGGAGAGAAGCCCTCAGGGGGCTTGCCTTTCTTCCACTGGATCTGTCAGCCCTATGTGCGGCCAGGGTGAGCCTTGCGTAGTGTGCATGGGGGAGGTTGGGGTGTACTGCCTGGCTCCTTCCTCACCCCGGGCCTGGGAACTTGAGGGAGGTGTCAGACCTTTCCTCCCCAGGACAGCACTCTTGGCCTCCATCTGGGGGGGGGGGGGGTCCTTGGCCTAAGCTCTGGGCTCCCTGACCTCACTAGGAGGTGTGCTCAGCTCTGCCCACACCTCTCCCATTAGGCCACAGGAGGGCAGCAAGGAGAATAGCCCCGCTCGCAGCAAGCGGGCCCTGGAAGAGGAGGGGGACCACCCTGAGGTCTTGTCCAAGAACAAGCAGAAGAAGAAGCTGAGGAACCCCAATAAGACCTTCGATCCCTCACTCAAACGTAGGCTGCTCTGCTCTCCCACAAAGGACTGGCCCAGGACATTCCTGGATTCCCCTACCCCTATGAGACGTACAGTTGGTCTTAGTGTGTACCGCTCTGGGTGGGAGCCTCCAAACCCCAGTTCTCTGGCAGCTCTGGGAGTCAAGGTTGGGGTGTGGGATCAGCCCTCTCTGGTCAGAGATGCCCTCTCCTTGCCACCACCCCTGGCTGAAGACAGCTCTGAGGTCCCTTCCTGCCAGCGGCATTGGTCACTTAAACACCTTCTTCTCCTAAACACCTTTTTTTCTTTTCCCAGCAAAATATGCAAAATGTGACCAATGTGGAAACCCAAAGGTGAGTGTCAGTTCTGGCTGTCTCTCCCACATATCCTTGTGCCGCCAAGCCCACCCAGGACAGCCCACCTCCAGGGTGTCCCCCCCCCCCAGGGACGGCTGCTCCCCGGCCCTGCGGGCAGCCATTGGACTGTCAGGCTCACTGGCCTTCCTGTGTCCAGGGTAACAGGTGCGTGTTCAATCTGTGCCGGGGCTGCTGCAAGAAGAGAGCCTTCAGGGAGTCCGCAGACTGCCCAGGTGAGGCCTGTCTGGTGGGGCCCTCCGCGGGGTGTGGAGCCTGATACTTGCTCGGCACAGACTCACCACCCTGTCACCCCAGGTCATGGGCTGCTGTTCAAGACCAAACTGGAGAAGTCTCAGGCCTGGAAGGGGGACCAGCCCCGGCTGCAGGAGCCACCTCTGCCCGGGCCCAGTGGGCCAGGCAGCCTCCCTGAAGTCTTGGGCAGTGCTGTGGCCTGAGGCCAGCAGAGCTCACACAGGATTGCTGCTGGGCCTGGACATGGCCGAGCATATACCTGAACTCAGGGATCTCCTGCGGTAACCAGGACAGGGTAGTGGTCTGTCTGCCCTGGGGCACCCCCCCCCCCGCCCCCTTCTCCTGCTATTCCAGTCTGTTCAACATGAACAATAAACCTGCCAGTGCCCAGAGCAGGCCAAGGCTGTGGACCAGAATCCAAAAGCTCCCTTCTTTGAGCACCTCCCAGCCGATGCACCCAGCTCTCAAGGTTGGTCCTGGAGAGGAGGGCCTGACGCGGGAGCTGGCCTGAACTGACAACCTGGGGGAACACCTGCAGAGCAGGAAGAGGCGAAGCCAGAGGCAGTTTGCAGTCTGTCCTTTAATGAGCTGAAATGCAGTGACTCCAGTTACTCCAGAGGCCATGGGCCCGCAGGGCAGGGCAGTAGGTACCTCCCGCAGCTAGGTCTAAGGACTGCAGATGGGCCGTGCAGGTCACACATCACATGTTGGTGCTCATCCGAGACTGGCTGTTGGCTGGGGTCAGTTCCCCCTGACTCCCTTCCCGGGGAGGAGACTGAGGAGAGGAAGCGGCGAGGCTCAGCCAGGCGCACAGGCACCCACCCGTGCCCACCTGGTGTGCGGGCCACGTCCCCCCAGGCACGCCCACCTTCACATGGATTTGGTTGCGCAGCACTGCAGCGCGCAGGATCATGGCCTTAGCCCTGCGCTGAAACTCCTTGCCCATCAAGAGAGATTTCTCGAAGGTGGTGCTGCGCTGGTCCACATCACGTGCATGCAGAATCTGCAGGGAAGCAGGGTTCAGTGGAGCTGGGACCACCCCCCACTGCTGCCCCCGGTGTGGGTTGTGCCCACCTTGCTGTGCGAGTCGATCCTAGCGTTGATGAGCCCCTCCAAGATCAGCTGGGTCAGCTCGTCCTCCAGTGCAGCCACTGTGGTGTTGAAGGCAGTGGCCATCTTGCGCATGTCAGCAGACACATAGGGGCTAAAATACTATGGGGTGGAGAGGGGTGCATCAGCAGCTGTCCGGTGGGCTGTCCAGAGCCACACCCCACCTTGCCCCAGGCTTACCTGGATGAGGGCTCGGTTACGGATCTGGGTATACAGGGTCCTGACATGGGGGGCCAGGTACATGTCCAAGAGCAGGTTGTCCTGGTATATAAGAACTATCAGGGGTGCCTCCTGGCTGCCTAGTCACCCAGGACAGGCCTCCCACTGGCTAGTCAAGCGCCCCACCTTCATCTCATCCAGCATCTTGAGGCACGAGGCATACTTGGACTCGTAGAACTTGAAGATGATGTCTCGGACCTGGGGTTCCAGCTCCAGGAACAACTTGAAGGAGCTGGGGGCGGGGTGTGTCAGCCTCCTCAGAGCTCAGCCCCTGCACCTGGCCTGCCTCTGGGCCCAGGAGGAGCCCCTGGGCTTCGGTTCCCAGGTGGAGGGGACAAGAGGGCTGGGGAGGGACTATGGCCGCAGCCCACCCACCTGCTGGAGATGACATTGCGCTGCAGCTCCTGACGGTCAAAGGTGGCCAGGGCACACAGGCCCCCATACACAGCCACATTGCTTGGGGAAAGCAGCTGAGGGCAAGAGGAAGGATCAAAACCCCAGCCACTGGTCAGTCCAGAGCCAGGCAGGGGTCAGAGAAGCCCTCAGTGCCAACTAGGGAAGGTCCACAGCACGCCCCAGCCTGAACCCATTGCAGGACAAATCCTGGCCAGGCTCACCTCAGGGAAGTCGCAGTGGTCGAAAGAGGCCAGCAGGAAGCACTTGGCAGCTTGCTTGTACTTGCGGGCTGCCAGCTCGGCCAGTCCTGGGGGTAGACAGGACCTGGAGCCATGAGCGGGCAGGAGCCACAGGCCCTGGCTGTCCCCTCCAGCATCTGTGCCTCAGCACGGGGTTTGGGGTCAAGGGATTAGGGACAACAGTGCCACTACGTGGTCGAGGGAAGCAGGGAGTTGACCACTGCAGGCCCTGCCATAGATCCCAGGTGACCAGCCTGTTCTAGTCCCTCACCTGCAGCACACTTGAGCTTGGTGAGGATGGCCTGGGTCTGGCTGTCTCGCTCCCCGCGCTGCTGCAGGGGAAAGTGACGGGGCCATGAAGCACCCACCCCAGCCTCTCCAGGAGGGAAGGGGGTAGCAAGGGGAAGGGGGAGCCGTAGGCCTGTTACCTCGGCGATCTCAGGAGTGGACTCAGCCTTGCTGACGTAGCTCAGCACATGGGACCAATTCTGCAAGTAGACGCTGACCTGCGGGGCAGAGCGGGCAGACTGAGCCCAGCAACCTTGCCAGTGGCTCACCACCCACCTGTTGGGCCTTGGCCCACCTTGATGACGTTAAGACACATGTTGATGACGTGCTTGGCGCTGGTGCAGTAGTCACGGGCACGTGAGTAGCACTTGAGGGCATTGCTCAGATCCCCACAGTCAAGGTAGTGATCACCCAGGTCATCATGACCACGCCTGCAGACCCCAAGCACAGACTGCGTCAGGAGCCCAGACCCTGGATGCACCTGCTCCCCTCAGCCCCCAGATCCCACCCTCGACAGGACCTGATGTCGTCCTCGATGGGTCCTAGCCCCCACCCTGGACGGCACCTGAGGCTGTCTCCTTGATGGGTCCTGCCTGGCCCCCACCCTGGACGGCACCTGATGCTCTCCTTGATGGAGTTGCCCTTGTAGTTTTTGAGGTCTGTGTCTAGCTTCTCCAGCTTCAGCAGTGCTTTCTTCCTTGTGGCCTCCACCCAGGCCGTGTCCAGGGGCGGAGGCTCCACACCACTCTCAGGGATGGCATCGGGGGCATGCTGCAGCTCCCTGGGGGAAGATGGCCATCATCCCCAAGGCTGGCATGGGACACAAGCTGGCCCTGAGAGGTCACACCTGCAGGCAACTCCTGGCTGTCCCCAGTGAAAAGGCACCCAGTGTGCACCGGGTCCCAAGCACCTTGGAGTCTCAGCCCCTAAGAGCTCTATGAACAGCTGGCTGAGCGAGAGGACCCTTCCACAAGCTTGTCCCTGGGAGCCCAAAACCAAGTATGCAGGCGGGGTGACCACACCACCTGCTCACCTCGTGGCCTCAGAGAGCTTACGGTGGATCTCCTCGTACATGTCCACATTGAAGGTCCTCTGGACAAAAGACAGGGCCATCTTTAGGGCCTCTACCCGCAGTGGCGGACAGTGGTCAGCAATGAACTGCAGGCGCTCGATGCGCATCAGGCCACTGTAGCTGGCTGCGTACTGCTCCAGGTCCTGAGGAGGCAGAGGGGGCTCAGGGCTGGACTGGAAGGCTGTCCAGGTAGGTCTGGGTCAGAGAGCTGACCTAGCACCTCTGCAAAGGACTGTCCACCCCCAGGACCTGCACGCCCCCCACCCCGGCCCTGCGACTGCGTACCAGGGTGGGGTTCTCCACCACATAGTTGATGTCAGGTGCATTTTGGGGGTCCTCTTGGGGATCCACATCAATCTGCATGGGCTCCACCGCCCCCTGCAAGATGAGGGGCCTGCACAGACTCTCACCCATCCCCCAGGCCCCCAAAGAGTCTCCAGTGTGCCCAAGTGAAGCCCCGGCCCGATTCCAACCCTAGAGGGGCAGTCACAGCCCAGGGCTGCCCTGCACACTCCCGGTCAGCATCCTCAAAGCCAGAGATGCCCAGGAGGCGGGTCCTGGGCGCAGGCGGGGACCCTGGAATGTGCCCACAGCCAAAGCAGCAGTACAGGACCAGAGAGTCACACTCATGGCCCGGGGCACACTGTGGTGGACGCTGGCCTTCGGCCCTACAAGACAGGAGACCCCAGGCCCGGCGCGGCGGGCCGGCACCCCCCAGCCCCTGCGCTCGGCTCCCTGGCGTCCGGTGGCGGCCCGGGCTCTGGCCGCCGGGCCCCTCTCTTGGAAGGTACCTCGTAAAGCAGCGTACAGGCCGACAGACTGGCGCTCAGGCTGAAGTCCCCGGCCGTGCCCGGCAGGAAGAGGTCTGCCCTACTGCTGGGAGGGGCGCAGTACAGATCTGTCACTGAAGAGGAGGCCGAGCTGGGGGCCGAGCTATCCCTCATTCTGGCCTGACTCTCTGCACCCCCCGACCCTGACACAGAGCTGGCTGGCTGCTGGGGGGAGAAAGAGCGTTAGCGGCGCCGAGAGCTGCGGCCCGAGCGGCCGGCTCGGGGCCTCCGCGCGCACACGCAGCCCCAG